AAATAACGAGGTCAAGGAATAAGCAACAAAAAAGTGAAAAAAAGACAAAAAAAGGCGATAAAACAAGCCAAAAATTTGTCATAAATAAAATAGAAGACGTCAAAAAAAGCTATAAGAATTACGACGACTGAAAATGCGAGTAACAAAGGCTACAAAAAGTGCGATAAAAGCAGGTAACAAAAAAAAGCGACAAAAAACGCGAAAAAAAAATAAAGAGGTCAAGAAATAAGCAACAAAAAAGCGAAAAAAAGAGAAACAAAAAGGCGATAAAACGGGCCAAAGGTTTGTCATAAAAAAAGGAGACGAAATGCCATAAAACGGCCAAACGTCTGTCATAAATAAAATAAAAGGTCAAAAAGGCTATAAGAGTACGACTGAAAAAGGCTACAAAAAGGCTTCAAAAAAGCTACCAAAAGGCTAGAAAGAGGGATAAAAGCAGGTAATAAATAAAAAACTTAACAAAAAACGCGAAGAAAGAAATAAAGATCATGAAATAAGTCATAAAAAAGCTAAAAAAGAGACAACAAGGCTACAAAAAGTGTGGCCAAAACATGAAGAAAGAAATAAAGAGGTCAAGAAATAAGCAAAAAAAAGCGAAAAAGACAAAAAAGGGGATAAAATGGGCAAAAATTTGTAAAAAATATAATAAAAGATGTCGAAAATGTTATAAGAATTACAACTGAAAAAGAGGAAAAAAAGGCCACAAAACGTGCGATAAAAACAGGTAACAAAAAAAAACTACAAAAACGCGAATGAAGAAATAAAGAGATCAAGAAATAAACAACAAAAAAGCGAAAAAAAGAAACAAAAAGGCGATAAAACCGGCCAAACGTTTGCCATAAATAAAATAAAACATGTTAAAAAAGGCTACAAAAGTTACGACTGAAAAAAGAGTAAAAAAAAGTTACAAAAAGGCTACAAAAAGGGATAAAACCAGGTAATAAAAAAGGTAAAAAAAAGGTGAAGAAAGAAATAAAGATCATGAAATAAGTCATAAAAAAGCTAAAAAAGAGACAAAAAGGCTACAAAGTGTGACAAAAACACGAAGAAAGAAATAAAGACGTCAAGAAATAAGCAACAAAAAAGCGAAAAAAAGAGACAAAAAGGGGGATAAAATGGGCAAAAATTTGTAATAAATAGAATAAAAGACGTCGAAAAAGGCTATCAGAATTACGACTAAAAAAGGAGTAAAAAAGGTCATAAAACGTGCGATAAAACCAGGTAACAAAAAAAGCGACAAAAACGCGGATAAAGAAATAAAGAGATCAATAAATAAGTAACAAAAAAGGGAAAAAAAGAGACAAAAAGGCGATAAAACGGGCCAAACGTTTGCCATAAATAAAATAAAAGATGTCAAAAATGGCTACAAAAGTTACGACTGAAAAAAGAGTAAAAAAAAAGTTACAAAAAGGCTACAAAGAGGGATAAAAGCAGGTAATAAAAAAGGTAACAAAAAACGTGGAGAAAGAAATAAAGGTCTTGAAATAAGTCATAAAAAAGCTAAAAAAGAGACAAAATGGCTACAAAAAGTGTGACAAAAACACGAAGAAAGAAATAAAGAGGTCAAGAAAAAAGCGAAAAAAAGAGACAAAAAAGGGGGTAAAATGGACAAAAATTTGTAATAAATAGAATAAAAACGTCCAAAAAGGCTATAAGAATTACTACTGAAAAAGGAGTAAAAAAGGGCCACAAAACTTGCGATAAAACCAGGTAACAAAAAAAGCGACAAAAACGCGGATAAAGAAATAAAGAGATCAAGAAATAAGCAAAAAAAAAGCGAAAAAAAAAAGACAAAAAGGCGATAAAACGGGCCAAAAATTTGTAATAAATAAAATAAAAAACGTCTAAAAACGCTATAAGAAAAACGACTGAAAAAGCTTAAAAAAAGCTACAAAAGGGCTACGAAAAGTGCGTAAAACACAACAACAAAGACTAGTATAAAAATAAAGGCGAAAAAAGACGATAAAAAACAGGACAAAAAGAAGGCCACAAAAAAGGTGAAAAAAAGACACCAAAAACGCTAAAAAATCATAGTTTCTTAAATCCTTGATTTTTGATTTTATTAAGCGCATTTTTTTCCAACCCTAATTACTAATGCTAGAAGAAATATAAAAAAAATCAGGGTTAACACAATGGCGGTTTTTTTTTTTCACACGGAGAATAACTGAAAATTATATAGCGTGAGTCATTAACGCGGTTAATTACTTATCTCCTTAATTTGTTTATTAAAGATACGGGAAAAAGTGACCGGCTAAAGTTAGACGGCTCTGAGTAGCATATACTAAAATTATTGTCGACTATACGGAGTGTTTTGCTTTCTAGGCACACAACCTATATAGTTTTATATATTCTTGTTGTAATATTTTATCGAGAGATAGAAAAAGGTACGCGCTTTTTCATGGTATTAAGTACTAATATACAGAGTGTTTATAAAAAATATAACTTTACAATTATTATTCAAATATCGATATTTGAGTTTTTCAAATAGAACATCGTGTATCTTAAAAAATTGAATAAGATCCAGTACTAAAATACCCTGTAATATATAAAAAATAAAGGAAAACGCGAAAAAGTCGCCTTAGTATTCCTTACGGACAAATTTCTACCGGGTGATTTTTTAAATGACGCTCACATCAACACTTGAAACTACCTCATGGGCAACTAGAGCAGCAATTTAAAAAATCACTCGATATAATCTATAACAATGAGAATTAAGTAGCGGACACATCGAAAACTACTGACCCGATTGTGTTACGACTTTTCGTAATTTAAATAAACGAACCTTGAGAAGTCAATTTTAAGATGTAAGAAATCTTGATTGGTTATATTTAGTGACGCAAAAATTTATTACGTCAATGCCAGAAGTTATTTAATAAAGATTGTATAATAAGACATCGTATTGAAAAGGGGAGAAAGTTCTGTGCAAATAAGTCGAGATTAAATGATTAAATTCGTATTTGACAACAAAATTGTCACACTTAACACTGACAAAAATACAACATTTAGCATCCAGAAATGTACCAAACATTAATTTTCAGACACAATTTCATTACGCTGAAACGTAAACGTCCGAGTTTATCATAATAATGACACCAAAGCACCGACATTCATTATATGTAAATAATTTTAAAATTTAAAATCAATATTGAACAGTGACGCTATTAATAGCAGAAACATTCTAAATTTAACCTGCCATTATTCATTAAAATAAATTAATAAAACGGCACGGGCGGAAATAGCTGCTGCATTTTTGTTTGCGCGTTTACTTTTTAATAATAAATCGTGATATACACACACGATACGATTTTGTTTTCAATCCAAAGCGATAGAGACATTTTTGAGTTTTAACACAAAGCATTCAATTATAAAATATTGTCCCAATTTTGACTTATGAATATTCAGTCCTGACTCCGCTTCATTTTAAATAATAAATAATCTTGCAGTGTTTTAGTTAAGCACTCTCTTGATGATAACGTAATCTTTCTCGTATCTTCCATCAAGTCAGTTATGGATTGTGAATATGTTTCGAATGTTTCCTTATAATGCAATCTCGATGCAAATTTTCGCTCGCTGCGCACTATCATTACGACCCGACTCGTTCCCATCTCGATCCGCTCCTCTTGATAAATGACCCCCATTACGTAAAGTACCAATTATTTATAAAATAAAGTAAGCCCGATATGAGTATTAATTAATAGCAAACGATCCCGTGATCGTAATAATAATAATCTGATCCCAACCGGATGCATATTTCAAAGCAGCGTCGATAGCATCTAATCCTCCAGACAAACGAGTTACCAACAAAACAATTTGTACGTTTCAAAGCTCCGTGCCCGAGAAACCGAACTCCGTACATCTGGAACACTTCCAGTGGAATACGAGGTCAGAGTTCGCGGTGAAAGCTCGGCTCCGTCTCGCGAATGTAAATTTATGAAAGTGTAAACTGTAGAAAGCACTCGGTGTAAAATTTCGCAAAACCGACTGAAATATCAAACGGCGCATTCATATCGAGCGAAATAATGCCATTAATTTAATGAGTGTAACGCGCTTTCCGCGAAATCATCATTAATCACGAACGTTACATACTGGTTATTCATTGTTTCGTATGGAGGCTTGTTGGAGTAAATATTTCAATATTATTGCGGGATTTATGCGCGGACAACGCCACAAATTAAACCGACACCGCTGATAACGGCGGAATTAATTTCTTAATTTTAATTTATGGAGGAAAGCGGCGGAGATTTATCGGCCGGGGAGCGAAACGCGACGCAAATAAGAGTAGTCGCTGACAAAGTCTGGAAAAAGCGGAGGACTCACGCGACGCCCTGTCGAACTCCGAATTCAGACACAAAAGTTGCGTCATTTCCGCCCATCGCACCGGAAAGAAACACCATTCGATGTTTATTTTTATTCGCTATACCGGAACTTATTGATAAAGTGGGATGATAAAAGCCCGAAGTGTTCAAATATTTGTCATTTGATTTAACCGCGCCATTGTGGCTATAAATAGCGATTTTTCTACATGTCCGCGATGAAAGATGCATAAGGCTGACGGCCGTCATGACAAAAACATCATTGAAATCAATTAGCACGACAAGTTTTTGCTTGTGACTACCGTTGAATAAATTATAATACATGTAAAGAATTTTAGCATTTTTGTCAACATTCCAGTTTATTTAAATTCGGAGTGATTAATGGCCTCGCGCTAGATTAACTTATTCTCGCAGTTTATCGACGCTGGTCGAAATAATGGCGATTTTTTCATTCGACGGTTTAAGTCGCGGAATTTATTTTGTTTGAGTTGCGAAATTTACGGGTTTGTGATTTGTGGTTTTATTTTGTGCGGAGATTATGAATCGGGGGCCGTAATTCAGGTTTAATAACGTTTTGGCAGGGCGGCTGTTTTTGCAAGTGTGACATTGTAGATGCCAAAAAATAAATAAAGAGGCGAAGACGCTCAAAATAGGGCGGACGGCGCGTGAGTGGATGCAATGCCTTACCGAGGGCTGAAGGGCGAAGCGGAAGCAGGAACTCACCTGAAAAAAACAAAATAAAAAAAAATAAAAAATGTGTTCGTAGTTCATACTGGGCTAACAAAATTTTTATTGAAACTATTAAAATGTAACGATAAAAGTATAAAAATTCACAACAGTTGCCAGAGGATGGTTAAATTTTTGTTCTAAGTAACATTTAAAAGCAGTCCACGATCTGTTACCACACTCGATAGGTTTCCAGAGACCTTTGAAAACCTGGAGATGCTAACCCGATTTTATCTGGCTTGTCCATTTAATTTATCAGTCAAAAAATTGAGGAACTTGAGACGGAGTCGTTAGTCTAAAAAATTGGTCTAAAGAGTTTAGACAGTACTTCCCTCGCTGTCGGAAACGTGACGACTGCATGCCTATTATGTTTTTTTTTCGCAGTGGATTTCAAAGAATTCGGTTTTGTAGTTCCTGAGTAAATCAATAAAATAAATTTACGCATTCATTAATTTTTTTGAGTCACCCTGTATATGCAAATCCAAAAAAAAATCAATGGAGTGATAAATCACAAGTACAGACTCATCATATTTTGTACAGTTTAGATAGGATTTATTCGGCAAACTTTCGAGCTGACGTCATCAATTTTTTGGAGGGGATAAGCAAATGTATTTTGACTAAACATTTATTATGCTCTTTATAACCTTAAAACATCTGCAAGATTTCAAAGCATTCGGTTTTGCAGTTCATGATTAAATCAAAAAAATAAATTTACGCATTCATTAATTTTTTTGAGTCACCCTGTATATGCAAATCCAAAAAATATGAATGGAGTGATAAATTACAAGTACAGACTCATCATATTTTGTACAGTTTAGATAGGATTTATTCGGCAAACTTTTGAGCTGACGTCATCAATTTTTTGGAGGGGATAAACAAATGTATTTTGACTAAACATTTATTATGCTCTTTATAACCTTAAAACATCTTCAAGATTTCAAAGCATTCTGTTTTGTAGTTCCTGAGTAAATTAGTAAAATAAATTTACGCTTTCATTAATTTTATTGAATCACCCTGTATATGCAAATCCAAAAAATATGAATGGAGTGATAGATCACAAGTACAGACTGATCATATTTTGTACATTTTAGATATGATTTATTCGGCAAACTTTCGAGCTGACGTCATCAAGTTTTTGGAGGGGATAAGCAAATATATTTTGACTAAACATTTATTATGCTCTTTATGACCTTAAAACATCTGCAAGATTTCAGAGCATTCGGTTTTGTAGTTCCTGATTAAATCAATAAAATATATTTACGCATTCATTAATTTTTTTTTAATCACCCTGTATATGCAAATCCAAAAAATATGAATGGAGTGATAAATTACAAGTACAAACTCATCATATTTTTACAGTTTAGAAGGATTTATTCGGCAAACTTTCGAGCTGACGTCATCAATTTTTTGGAGGGGATAAGCAAATATATTTTGACTAAACATTTATTATGCTCTTTATAACCTTAAAACATCTGCAAGATTTCAAAGCATTCGGTTTTGTAGTTTCTGAGTAAATCAGTAAAATAAATTTACGCTTTCATTAATTTTTTTGAGTCACCCTGTATATGCAAATCCAAAAAATATGAATGGAGTGATAGATCACAAGTACAGACTCATCATATTTTGTACATTTTAGATATGATTTATTCCACAAACTTTTGAGCTGACGTCATCAAGTTTTTGGAGGGGATAAGCAAATATTTTTTGACTAAAGATTTATGATGCTCTTTATAGCCTTAAAACATCTGCAACATTTCAAAGCATTCTGGTTAGCAGATTGAAAATTAAATTTCAAAATGTTGTTTTATAATTTTGATTTTTTTTCCAAAAATCTGGACGTTTCGGGTGAAAAGTCGATTCGGAGTTGTAAACTACATGTGTAGGACTATGTTATTTTATACAATTGAAAACCCATTTACTATGTACAATTTTGAAGTGACGTCATCGCATTAGTGGTGGGGATGATTAGACAAATTTTGGTTAGCGTTTTACCATCTACATCATATTCTTAATATAAGTACAAAATTTCACAACAATCGGTCCAGTACTTTCGGAGATTATCTGTCTAATAAAAATCCGGGACGGCAGACGGACAGACGGACGGACAGACGGACGGACAGACGGACGGACAGACGGACAGACAGACGGAAATGGGAGACCTATTTCTTCGTCTTCTAGGGGTCATGAAAGATCGAGAAAACGTAAAAGTAGAGATTCGGCCGACGGACTCGATTACAATACTTCCTTTGCTTACGCTCGGGAAGTAAAAATTGTAAACCTCGAAAACCCGATGACCTGAAGCTTGTCAGGTCAGGTCAGGTCAGGTTCTGATAATTTTTATCAAAAATTAAATAATAAATTTCATTAAACAACTTATACAAGGTGTTCCAAAAATGATGCCTAAACTTGATACTACGTTGTTAAGAAGGCTCTGAGAAACTTGAAAAAAAAGGTTCAAAAAAATCTCTGAACCAAAATTTTAAAAATATTTAACTTCAAAGTTGAAGAAATAGCTTCGTAATTTTGATTTGTTTTAATAAACTGTCAATGTTTTGAGAAACTACATTATTAATTAAAAATAAAGGGAGGGTAGGCGGGGCTAATACTTACTAACATCTACTGATTTTGGCAAATGATATATTCTCGTAAGAAAATAACGGGCGGGTGGGCGGGGCTATTATTTAAGATAAGACGAACTTTGGCAGATGACATACACCCTAAAAAAATAAAGGGTGGGTGGGCGGGGCTAGTACTTCCTAAGATAGACTGATTTTGGCAAATGATATATTTTCTAATAAAATTTGGCAGACGACATACACCCTAAGAAAATAAAGGGTGGGTGGGCGGGGCTAGTACTTGCTAAGATAGACTAATTTTGGCAAATGATATATTCTCTGAGAAAATAAAGGGCGGGTGGGTGGGGCTAGTACTTATCAAGATGAGACTGATTTTGTCAAATGAACACTTAAAGAAAAAAGTACCTACACTTGTACCCAAGTTAATTTTTCACAATAATTTGGCGTCTATAAAATTATTATAATAAAACAAATTAAGTAGCCATACCGACGATTCATTATTTTAGAAAAGAAGTAGATCTAGATATTTATTCTTACAATAGAATCGAAACAACTTCCCTTCTGTCTTTACTGTACACTTGTATGAGAATAAATGCGAAAAAAAGCCTTGAAATGCGAGCGCTGCGAGCACCTTCAGGTGTAATACAAAAAATTATTTATTGCTGTCCCTGAGAAGCTAATTATTAAGAACAATTTGGTTATTTAAAAATTTGAAATTAAAGAATGTAATCAGTAATCACTAATTTCTGTTATCTTGAACGTGGTCGCTGCGCTCGCATTTTAGAGGTTGGTTTTTTCGGAGCAATTTATACCTTCATAGGGAGAAGAAATATTTAAAAATCGAAAAAGCGAAAAAACGAAAAACGAAGAAACCCAAAAATCCACAATTTAGAAAATCGAAAAACTGAAACATTATATAGTAATAACAATCATCAAAAAGAGAAACGAATTTTCAAAAGATCGAAACATCGAAAATTCAGGAAGTCGAAAAAATGAATAGCCCAAAATTGAATAGTTAAAAAATGAAAGATTTACAATTAAAAAAACGCGATTAATCGAAAAATTGAAAAATCGAAACATCAAAATCTCCATAAATCCAGAAAAAAAAAATAAGATCGCAAAATTGAAAAATCCAAAAATTTAAAACTGAGAAGTATAAAAATCGATATGAAAAAACTGAAAAATCTAAAATTTAAAAATTCGAAAAATTGAAAAATCGAAAAAGTGAAAAAACTAAAAACGAAGAAACCCAAAAATCCACAATTTAGAAAATCGAAAAACTGTAACATTACAATAATAATAATAATCATAATAATGTCTATTCACGCCAAAAAGAGAAACGAATTATTAAAAGATCGAAAAACCGAAAAGTCAGGAAGTCGATAAAATGAATAGCCCAAAATTGAATAGTTAAAAACTGAAAGATTTAGAATAAAAAAAATCGATTAATCGAAAAATTGAAAAATCGAAACATCAAAATCTCCATAAATCCAGAAAAAAAAATAAGATCGCAAAATTGAAAAATCCAAAAATTTAAAACTGAGAAGTATAAAAATCGACATGAAAAAACTGAAAAATCTAAAATTTAAAAATTCGAAAAATTGAAAAATCGAGAAAACGAAACATTAAAAAATTGAAAAAAAAAACATTTAAAAATCGAAAAAGCGAAAAAACGAAAAACGAAGAAACCCAAAAATCCACAATTTAGAAAATCGAAAAACTGAAACATTATAATAATAATAATCATAATAATGTTTATTCACGCCAAAAAGAGAAACGAATTATCAAAAGATCGAAAAATCGAAAAGTCAGGAAGTCGAAAAAATGAATAGCCCAAAATTGAATGGTTGAAAAATGAAAGATTTAGAATAAAAAAAAATCGATTAATCGAAAAATTTTAAAATCGAAACATCAAAATCTCCATAAATCCAGAAAAAAAAAATAAAACCGCAAAATTGAAAAATCCAAAAATTTAAAACTGAGAAGTATAAAAATCGACATGAAAAAACCGAAAAATCTAAAATTTAAAAATTCGAAAAATTGAAAAATCGAGAAAACGAAACTTTTGAAACGTCTTTAAACTGAAATTGAAAATTAAAATTTCAAAAAACTGGAGAATCGAAAAATTGAAAAATCGAGAAAACGAAACATTAAAAAATTGAAAAATTGAAAAAAAAAAAACATTTAAAAATCGAAAAAGCGAAAAACGAAGAAACCCAAAAATCCACAATTTAGAAAATCGAAAAACTGAAACATTATAATAATAATAATCATAATAATGTTTATTCACGCCAAAAAGAGAAACGAATTATCAAAAGATCGAAAAATCGAAAAGTCAGGAAGTCGAAAAAATGAATAGCCCAAAATTGAATAGTTAAAAAATGAAAGATTTAGAATAAAAAAAATCGATTGATCGAAAAA